GGGGGCGGCTTCCTTTTCGCCGGAGCCGGGTGTGGGGGGCCAGCTGTCCAGGCTGGGGAGGGGAGGCGGCGACGAGGATCCCCTTGGGGGCAGAGGGGACCGCGGAGGAGTGGGTGGAGGAATGTCAGGGGCGAGCGCTGGGCTTCCTCTCTCGGGGTTGAGTGGTTTGGCAGGGGAGAGGAGTGCGTGTGTGTGCGTGCCAGTCATCTTCCTTACAAGACTTGCTGGGCAACTGACACGCAGGGACAGCAGCAGCAGCGGGGCTGGCTCCCCCTCCTGAGAATTGGGCGTGGAGATGCAGGGGGGCATTTTTTCCCCCCGTGAAAGGCCACTCCGTCGCTTTCCTACGAGGATGGGGACAGTTTGGCTTCCCAGCATGGCTAGGGAGGATTTTATTGACAACCTGGCAAGGAAGGTGAAAACACGAGCAGCAGCTTCTTCCTCAGCTATTTCATGACACGTTGGGCTGGGTCTGTGTATTAGGTGATGCCAGGTGGAGAGGCCGATCTTCCTTCTTCCCCAGCATTGGGAGAAAAGTAAACATTAGGACGAACGTGCCCTGCTCGTCTGTGTTATCTTGAGCGTTAGCATCCAGTAGTAATTTCGCTTTGTTTGCCCACGTGAGAGTTGGATAAATTTAGTTGGCTCCAAGAAATAGAGGAAACTTGCGTAACTTGTTGAGACATGACCGAGGCAGGTATAACCAATGGTAAGGATCAGTCAGTTGTAATTTGCAGGGAGAGTTTGCATCTGGAAAGTAAGTGAGCTTTTCTCCAGGCTCTTGGAATATTTTAGTCAAATTTAATTTAGGATAGCTCTTAATAAGGACACAGTAAGAAGAGTGCTTATATTTATAGATCTGCTCCAAAAAGGGGCACTGATATTAAAGGGAAAAATAAGTAGTTTAGTAGAAAGAAGTTTAGGTTTCATATCATCTGAAGAGATTTTTATATCGTTTTTGTAGATATAGTAAAAGTCTGTTCTTCTAATATTTTTATTACAAGTTTTCTTTTTGCTATGTAAGAAGTAACTTTGCTCTGGTGAATTGTCTACAAATGTTTCTACATAAGAGTGCAGGATCTAGCAGGATAACACACTTATAGTAATAGTTTCTTATAGAAATATGTGATAAACGGCTAAGCTTACTTCAGAGAAGATGGTCCTTTTGGGAAAGTATGATGTGGAATGCTGAGTTAGTGTTATTTCTCTGTCTTAAAACAGTAATGAAAGTTTTAAAAAGACTCATGTTCAAAGAATTGCGACAGGAGTTAGAAAACAAGTATTTAGGAAAATTGCAAGGTAGCAGCAACAATCCTATACAGCAGTGTTTCTTAAAGTGTGGTCCTAGCATCCCTGGGGGTCCCCCAAGCCCCTCTCAGGAATCCTTGAAATCAAAATTATTTGCCAACCTATGTTGAAAAACAATACAATATTAAAATCCCATCAAACAATTGTGAGAAGTGGTAGCGGCAGTGAATGCGTCAATTTTAATTTTCAGTACAGTGAATATTGATAAATATAACCCATACAAACAAAATCTCTTTTAGGGTCCTCCATAATTTTTACAAGTGGGAAGGGGTCCTGAGAGAAAAACATTTAAGGAACATTGCTATACAGCAATGTTAGTTAACCCAAAGTAATCCTACTTTCATTCATTTATTAGTTGCTGCCCTTCAGCTGTTGTATTCATAATATGGTGTTACAGTACAGCAGTTAAAGATATAGCCTGCATCACAACATATGCACAGTGTGTGGTGGGATAGTGTATATTTATTTTATAGTAATAATTTGTTTATTTACAGATTACTTTAAATGTAAGTATTGTGCAGAATTAAAAATGTATAAGAGAAGTCCTGCTGGTAGGCTTGTACTTTAGCATGGGAAGAAGAAAGTAAAGCGCAGAAGAAAACGATAGCATGTTTTTATTAATAAAGCAAATTAGATTCTTATGTTTAAACTGCTAATTAGGAAACTAATTAGTTATAGTATGTGGGAATGGCAAACCGCTACAGTATTCAGACGTACTATTTAAAAAAAGATTTCAGTATGCACATTTATACTTAAAATTATACTATATTAACTAATACATTAACACAAATATGACATTTCTTTTCAGGGAACATTTTATGTCTGTTTAATTGCCTGTAGTTTTTAGGCAGGGTAGGCCTAAAAATTCTATTTTTCTTTCCACTGCTTTCTTCCATTTCTTTAAGTTAGTCTTTTTAGGTTCAATGTATCTTTATAATTATATTGAACTTGGTCAACCTTGTATTAAAATATGCACATTATGATTGAGTTGTCTGTTTTGTATCTTTCTATTAAAGAGCACATTAATTATACTTAATCAACTTTAGGTCTGAAAATATTTAAGAAATTCTTCAGTTTCATGAAACAGGGTTTGAGCAAAAGAAAGTTTTAAAATTTTATGTTCCTGAAAATACAGGATCAGTGTGGCAGATTCGTTTGTTCTATAAAGAACTCCCAATATAGATTTTGAACTCTTTATATTGGCACTTATTTATAAAATAACCTATCAGATACATGGTAGATTTGACGCAAATGTATCTTACTTTTAATTTTTATTAAAATTAAAAGGTTATTACTTTAAATTTTTACAAATACGCAGTTAAATTCCCCTTTGGATGCTTATGTATTGTTAGAGTCAGTAATTAAAACTATTTGAGAGAGAACCTTCTGTAAAAGAATAAATGTGCAGTGTCTATTCTAAATTCCTTTATCCCACATGCAGTCCCATGATGCATAGAGAATTGACCTTTCTTAATCAGATTTTTTTTCCTAGTGAGATTCCAGCTTTATGAAGTTTATTATGTCCATGCTTTCATATTATACCATTGGGAATTTGCTCTACATTCCATGCAACTTATGCACAAACAGTAGTGTAGTATCTCATATTTAGTCTTAGACTGGTTTAGCTGTTGATACCATCCGTCGTACACAGTTCCTAGCTGATACATCAAGACCCAAAGCTCTTCAGTGTTATTTAAATATAGATCTTAAGTTAGTCCAAATACACTAAGTTTCTAATTTAAGTCAAGTAATGCTACCCATTCTACATTAAATAAGAGTTCCGACTAGAGAGATCAAAAGTCATTTTAATTTAGTATTCTGTTTCCCACAAAGACTTATTAGATCCCTGTATGGGGCCTGCAAACAGGACAAGATTACTGTGGTTCCCATGATATGCTGAGTATGAAAGTTAGGCTTAGTCTCTTGTCCAAACTTAACTGTAATCTGGAGCAGTAGTGTTAAAAATGGGAAGTGGGGATATTTTAAAATCTCTCTGAGAAGCCCATTCTTCCTAAAGTTCCCCCCCAAAAGCTACTTACAATAGACTTTTCACCCCACTCAGGCTAAACCTTCTAATACCCTCTAGTTTGTTCAGCTTGGGAGTTCTTAGCCTTTCCATCGAAGACTTTTCTCTTCTGTTCATCTCTTGGAAAACAGAATGGAAGGTGCTTTGGGTTTTCCCACTCAAAGCCCAGAATTATAGAACTTAACAAATCTTATGCCAGATCTGGCAATATAATTGTGTAATTTTGCATGTGGCTAAGATTTTAATGAGAAAACCAATTCCAAACCAATTAATCCAAGTCTGTAGATGCAGAAAGAAGTCTCTTGACAAAAGGGAAAATACAGGACAAGGGAAGGTGTTGATCCAATATACACAATTCTAAGCAAAATCTATACAGTCAGCCTAGATAAACTAGTTACTTATTACCTGCTTGAATAATATCTTGGGTTTCAAGACAGCTTTCTTGCAGAGAGAATAATTGAAGAAAGAATTTTGAGTGTCTTGATTGGATGTTTGTAGGCAGGCATGTCTTGTTCTGTAATTTTCTTCTGGTTTCCTTTTTATTTTTTTCCTTGTACACTTATCCTTAGTTTTATAGAAAGTGGGGGATAAGTGAAAGCCAGACTCTTTGGGAAGCAGCAGTCAAGGACAGTGCATCGTCTATGATGTCTTGGTTTTAGCCAGGGAATCAGAAATTAGCTAGAGGTTAAATCCATCCTCCTGATGACCCTTGATGGAAATATAAAGGCGCAGTCTGTTTTTTACCAGTTCTCCCTTTGAATAAATGCAATTTTATGGAAGAAGCTCTTCTAGGAAATGAAACTGGCAAGAGGTCAATTTATCAGATGTTTTAGGGGCACTGTTATATCAAAACTAGAGGTTTGTCACACATACCTTGTAGTAACATTACTTATCAGTGTGCCACCAGAATCAGTTTGTGGGACTAAACCACAAATAAGACATATTCCTTGCCTATAGAAATACAGTAATTGGAAGGAGTAGCTGCAAAGTTTAGCCATTCCTGCTCTGTAGGCTTTGTTACTCTGATTTGACTGCATTCTACTGGCATGTGGGGAAGGGTTCTTTAAAGTAGAAATGGCCCTGGGGGGCGGATTAGTTTTCCCTGGTACACTGTGACTCTGACCTCAGAGCACCATGGTCTTTAAAAAAGATCTGTAAAAAAAAGGGGGGGGGAGAGGGAGGGAAAGGTCATTTGGTCAATTAACCTGAGGATGGTTGTGATACTGGTCTGGAAGAAGGACTAAGCAAGCAGTGGTTCACTTCAGCTGTCTCACAGAGCAGCTTTCTTGTGGACAAAAGCTATGTTTTACATTTCTTTGCCCTTAAGGTATTGTGGTACAGCTGGGGACATCATATTATCATGGGAATGAAAACAGGAAAAATCAGTCTGAGTTTTTGAGGTAAGGGATGAAATTGGTACTTTAGACCTTAAGGGACATTTTGCCCCTGCTCATATGTTATGGGGCTCTGGGATCCATAAAAGGGGTACTTGGGG